GACTTGGATGAATTTCTCGCTCGCCCTGCGAAAGCAACACGCCGCGAACGGACTTGGAAGAATTTCTCGCTCGTCCGGCGAAAGCAACACGCCGCGAACGGACTTGGAAGAATTTCTCGCTCGCCCGGCAAAAGCAACACGCCGCGAGCGAACTTGGAAGAATTTGTCGCTCGCCCGGCGAAAGCAACACGCCGCGAGCGAACTTGGAAAAAGCGGCTTGTGCGGCCGGAGGTGTCGCCCGCCAACGAAAGCAACTCACCGCGATCGGACTTGGGGTACGGGCGGCGCGTGCCGCCGGAGGTGTCGCCCGCCAACGAAAGCAACACGCCGCGAACGGACTTGGAAGAATTTGTCGCTCGCCCGGCGAAAGCAACACGCCGCGAACGGATTTGGATGAATTTCTCGCTCGCCCGGCGAAAGCAACACGCCGCGAACGGACTTGGAAGAATTTCTCGCTCGCCCGGCGAAAGCAACACGCCGCGAGCGAACTTGGAAGAATTTGTCGCTCGCCCGGCGAAAGCAACACGCCGCGAGCGAACTTGGAAGAATTTGTCGCTCGTCCGGCGAAAGCAACACGCCGCGAGCGAACTTGGAAAAAGCGGCTTGTGCGGCCGGAGGTGTCGCCCGCCAACGAAAGCAACACGCCGCGATCGTACTTGTGGTACGGGCGGCGCGTGCCGCCGGAAGTGTCGCCCGCCAACGAAAGCAACACGCCGCGAACGGACTTGGAAGAATTTGTCGCTCGCCCGGCGAAAGCAACACGCCGCGAACGGACTTGGATGAATTTCTCGCTCGCCCGGCGAAAGCAACACGCCGCGAACGGACTTGGAAGAATTTCTCGCTCGCCCGGCAAAAGCAAAACGCCGCGAGCGAACTTGGAAGAATTGTCGCTCGCCCGGCGAAAGCAACACGCCGCGAACGGACTTGGATGAATTTCTCGCTCGCCCGGCGAAAGCAAAACGCCGCGAACGGACTTGGAAGAATTTCTCGCTCGCCCGGCGAAAGCAACACGCCGCGAACGGACTTGGAAGAATTTCTCGCTCGCCCGGCGAAAACAACACGCCGCGAACGGACTTGGATGAATTTCTCGCTCGCCCGGCGAAAGCAACACGCCGCGAACGGACTTGGATGAATTTCTCGCTCGCCCGGCGAAAGCAACACGCCGCGAACGGACTTGGAAGAATTTGTCGCTCGCCCGGCGAAAGCAACACGCCGCGAGCGAATTTGGAAAAAGCGGCTCGTGCGGCCGGAAGTGTCGCCCGCCAACGAAAGCAACACGCCGCGATCGGACTTGGGGTACGGGCGGCGCGTGCCGCCGGAGGTGTCGCCCGCCAACGAAAGCAACACGCCGCGAACGGACTTGGAAGAATTTGTCGCTCGCCCGGCGAAAGCAACACGCCGCGAACGGACTTGGATGAATTTCTCGCTCGCCCGGCGAAAGCAACACGCCGCGAACGGACTTCGAAGAATTTCACGCTCGCCCGGCGAAAGCAACACGCCGCGAACGGACTTGGATGAATTTCTCGCTCGCCCGGCGAAAGCAACACGCCGCGAACGGACTTGGAAGAATTTCTCGCTCGCCCGGCGAAAGAAACACGCCGCGAACGGACTTGGAAGAATTTCTCGCTCGCCCGGCGAAAGCAACACGCCGCGAACGAACTTGGAAGAATTTGTCGCTCGCCCGGCGAAAGCAACACGCCGCGAGCGAACTTGGAAAAAGGGGCTTGTGCGGCCGGAGGTGTCGCCCGCCAACGAAAGCAACACGCCCCGATCGTACTTGGGGTACGGGCGGCGCGTGCCGCCGGAGGTGTCGCCCGCCAACGAAAGCAACACGCCGCGAACGGACTTGGAAGAATTTGTCGCTCGCCCGGCGAAAGCAACACGCCGCGAACGGACTTGGATGAATTTCTCGCTCGCCCGGCGAAAGCAACACGCCGCGAACGGACTTGGAAGAATTTCTCGCTCGCCCGGCGAAAGCAACACGCCGCGAGCGAACTTGGAAGAATTTGTCGCTCGCCCGGCGAAAGCAACACGCCGCGAACGGACTTGGATGAATTTTTCGCTCGCCCGGCGAAAGCAAAACGCCGCGAACGGACTTGGAAGAATTTCTCGCTCGCCCGGCGAAAGCAACACGCCGCGAACGGACTTGGAAGAATTTCTCGCTCGCCCGGCGAAAGCAACACGCCGCGAACGGACTTGGATGAATTTCTCGCTTGCCCGGCGAAAGCAACACGCCGCGAACGGACTTGGAAGAATTTGTCGCTCGCCCGGCGAAAGCAACACGCCGCGAGCGAACTTGGAAGAAGCGGCTTGTGCGGCCGGAGGTGTCGCCCGCCAACGAAAGCAACACGCCGCGATCGTACTTGTGTTACGGGCGGCGCGTGCCGCCGGAGGTGTCGCCCGCTAATCAAGGCAACACGCCGCTATCGGGCCTGGAAAAATTTCTCGCTCGCCGGCGAGAGCAACGCGCCGCGAGCGAACTTGCGCCTGTTCCCGAGTTCTCGCTTGTACCGCTAACGAGCGAGCTAAATGAGATTAATTATATGAGGACGCATCGGAAAGTTTATTCGTGCAAACACTCCGGCTTCGCTTATCGGCATCCTGCCTGCATTCGTCCACGTATCGGTCGTAGAATCTCGAAGATTGTGCATCCGACGAGTGGTAGCCGGGAATTAGCAGATATCGTAATAATCGTGTCGCGCGGTCGTGCGGAGCGTCGAAAAGTACGAAACCTTTGTCCGAAACGTATTTCCGTATCGTAGCATTATCTCCTCGTAGCGGCGCTACTCGCCGTCAAGTGCCCCGGAGGTACCGCCGGCGGGCGACGGACTTGGTGAAATCATTCGGTCGTCCGGAGGTGTCGCCCGTCCCGGAGGTGCCGTCCGTCCCCTAAGTTGACGCCGGCCGTTATGTGGTGCCGCACGTATAATCACGCCCGTAACGAGCCGTCTCGGTTGCCGCGCGCGTGATTTCGCATCGGGCGAGTGTTCCGTACCGTAATCGCGGTCACCGCAGCTTGCGTGTTGCGTATCATCCGTAATAATTCGAAATATATGTCTCCGACACGTGGGTTTGAGAGACACGTTTCGAGTTAGTAATCGGACAGCGCCCTCATGTCGAGCGAGCGCCGAATAGTAAGTAACTTTCGTCCGAAACGTTTTTACGTAGCTCTCCTCGTTGCGGCGCCGTAAATCGTCGTTAAGTGTTCCGGAGGTACCGCCGGCGGTCGTCTGACTTCGAGAGATCATTCGGTCGTCCGGAGGTGCCGCCCGTCCCGGAGGTGTCGCCGGTCGGCCGTGGTTCCCGGAGGTGTCGCCCGGCCCGGAGGTGTCGCCGGTCGGTGGTTCCCGGAGGTGTCGCCCGGCCCGGAGGTGCCGCCCGGCCCGGAGGTGCCGCCCGGCCCGGAGGTGCCGCCCGGCCCGGAGGTGCCGCCCGGCCCGGAGGTGCCGCCCGGCCCGGAGGTACCGTCGGTGCTTATACCTTATTGTCCCGGCATTTCGTTTGTTTCCTTCTTAATTAATGCTAATTATCGTTGTTTGACATTCGCCATACGGCTATCGTGATAATATTTTATCGTACAATAGGACTTTTCGATCGTTCGCTCTCCGCGACAATGTCTCGATTGAACGCGCCTTTCGGCGCTCGCGCTCGCATACGGCCGTGCGTAGGACCGTGCGTCGCCGACCGCCTGGCCGGCCGGTTGGGTACTATAAGAGATACGTCGCGCTCGGCGCGTCGAACGAGTCGAGCGAGTCCGGACGAGTCGTAAACGTACTTTCTCGAGTCTCTCGCCACTCCGGCGTGTTTCGACCGCTCTCCGTACCGTCGCCGACCGCTTGGCCGGTCGGTTGGGTACTATAAGAGGTAGGAGAGATTAATATTGTACGTGTCGCGCTCTCGACGTTGACAAACGAAGAATCGCCCGAACGGGTCGAGAACGGATTTTGTCGAGTCGCGACTCTGACACGGAGAGAACATTTATATAAAATGTTTGATTTGGAAACCACGAATATATAAAATAATATACGATCGTCGCAGAACGCGCCGCCGCCAAGTCTTCTCATGCTTGGAGGTTGCGTGTCTCGCGAGAACGTACGTTCGACTCTCGCGTCGTCTCGTATTCCTCTTCGCCGGGGATTACGGTGCGGCTCTTCTCGTTCGTCGCCGAACGCGCGCAAAATTAACGCACACTTATTTATTACGAGCACAGC